CTTAATTTAAGAAAAAATATTAACGTGGCCAATCTCTAACAGAGAGTAGATCATTTGGAGCAAAATTTGCAGTCAGATCTAAACCCTAAGTACAGCCTAAGTACAGCACAGTACATTATTGTAATCTTGACTATGAACCATCACAACCAAACCTACAGGAGGCCCTTCCTGGGATTCCAGGCTGCCTGGCTGACCTCTCTCATGCACCCCTCCCCAGCTCCACCAGCTGTCAACAAAGTCACATTTCTGAAGCTGCAGTTTTGACCATCTTAGTTAAGAGCTTGTTAGAGATTGTTTTCTGCTAATCCTCAGAAGTGGCTCCCTGGCCCCTTTCCTAGACCCCTCCAGGTCTCCTTGCTTTTCCCCCGCCTTCTCAGGAACAGAGCACACAGGCAAGCACGAGAATGTCCACATGCTTACTGCCCTGCACCTGCCTTTCACCCAGTCAGGTTTCTCCTACCTCACAGCTGCTCTCCAGATCTCTTCAGGTTTCAATCAGGATTTATCTAAAGGCCTAATTGGCTCAGAACACCTAATGCAGTATGGCAAACAGGTTTCATGTTTTCCATTAACTCTGACTGATTGGAAGTGGCTGCCTGAAGGGATCAATTAACAAAGACTGTCAGGTGTGTGTGTGTGTGCATGTGCACGGGTGTATATATGTGTGCAGGGGTCATGGGATTCATGTGAAATACTTGCCATCATTGGTTTAAGGTGTTTGTTAACTTTTTCTGTAACAGGTTGGCACATTTACAGCCTTTTTTCTTCTACCTTGGAGTTTTTTTTTTTTTTTTTTTTTTTTTCCTGCAGTAGCTTAGAGTCAGAAAAACAGCTAAAGCATTGGTAGTTTGAAAAAAAAATAGCCTTAAATAGTCCCTGGTTAGGTATTCAACAGAGACATGCTGTGATTCCACCCAGGATGCAGTAGTCAGGAAGTGGAGAGCAGTGACATCCCAGGAACGAGCATGCTAGATGGTGACAGGGACTGTCTAGCTCTGCATAACATGCTGGAACACCACCCTTAGGGGGTACTGCCAGACACAGCATGAAAACCCCACACAGCAGCTCTCATTGTGAGATGACAAGCTAGTGTTCCAGAGCTCAGGGCTGCGACTAGGCATCTGCTGGTGTGCATGATGAAGGTCATCACTGGCAGCCCTGCCCCTGGCTTCCATTAGGAACTGAAAACAAAGGACCGTTCATGATTCCTTCTATGGGCTGGAGCTCCACAGGGAGGTCTGAGGTCTGGAAACATGGCACTTTGACCCCAGTGCACGCATGATCAAAGAAGGCTACTCTACAAAGTGTTTGCATGGGAATAAGGGCTGATGACCTCGAGGACAGAAGCCCCAACAGAAAACTGACTCCCCAAGAATGTCCTTTGGGGTCAGGCATGGTGGCTTATGCCTGTAATCCCAGCACTTTGGAAAGCTGAGGGAGGGGGGTCGCTTGAGCCTAGGGGTTTGAGACCATTCTGGGCAACATAGTGAGATCCCATCTCTACAAAAAATAAAAAAAAAACCCAGCCATATGGTGGCACTTGCCTGTGGCCCCAGCTACTCAGGAGGCTGAGGAAGGAGGATCACTTGAGCCCAGGAGTTTGAGGCTGGAGTAAGCTGTGATCCAGCCTGGGCCACAGAGTGAGACCCTGTCTCAAAAAAAAAAAAAAAAAAAAAGTCCTTTGAAGGGGCTCCTTGTGATTACCCACCTTCCATTCATTCAACCCACACACCCACTACAGATCCATCTCCAAAGCCCCTTCCCTGACCCAGGATTCCAATGTTCCTTTGTCACCTGTTGCATAAAGTCTATCATTGAAAGAGAGGCTGAGGAGGAGGGACAATGTTGAAGCATTCCGAGCAACGAGTTCAGACTGAAACCTTAGGCTGCACGTTGAGGGTGGGGGTTGGGTGGGGGTACTGTACCCAGATCAACACCACCAGATTGGTCCCTGTCCTGTATGGAAGGGACAGTATGGTGGAGTAGTTAAGCCCGCCGGTTTCGAGAGCACACAGACATGGGTTCCACTTCTGGGTCTGGTATGTGCTAACTGTGCGACTTCAGGCAAGTTATTTAAATCTCTCTGAGCTTCTCTATCTGTAAAATGAGGATGATAACCTTCCACAGAAGGTGGGTGTGGAGATTGAATGAGGTGAGCCATGAGAGGGGCTTAGCTTAATATCTGGCACACACCAAGTGTCCCGCCTCTGGTCACCGCTATTACTGTGATAGAGCTTCCAAGAAGGCTTCTCTGGGGGCTGGTGTGGTTCTCAGAACAGAGCCCAAAGGTTGTCAAGGCTCATGGGATGAATAAGAAAGTGGCACATGGAGTAACGATTCCCTGGCCACTGCTTTCCAAAATGGCAGGTGCTGGCACCAGCCTCCACAAAGCCAAATTTGAATTCATGTTTCTTTCCCAACCTGCTCCTCCTGCATCTCCCTCACCTTCATCCTCCCCATTGCTCAGGTCCCAAGCCTTGACTCCTCTCTTTCTCGTATACCCCAAATTCACACCATGGGGGAACGTCTCCTGCTGGATTATCATGATGCCTCTTAAGGGTTGTCTTGCTTCCAAGCTTGCCCCCTCTGTTTATTCTCTACGCATTGGAGGCTGTCATGTTTACAACCATCTAATGGTTTCCAATCGCACTCAGATTAGAAGCCTCCCAGGCCCTGCCAACTCTGCCCTGTGTCCTCTCTGACTCTCCTCCTGCTACCCCCACCTTGCCCATGCCCCTCCCTTCCTCTCCACAGCACAGTTGCCTGCTCCTTGAACACCCAGACACGCTCCTGCCCCGGGGCCTTCACGCTCACTGCTCCCTCTGCTGGAAGCCCTTCCCCAGATACCCACATCATTTGTTCTTCACTTCTTTCCTTGCTTAGATGTCACTTTCCCAATGAGACCGTTCTCACCTACTCCACTTTAAATTGTCCCCTGGGATAGGCTGAAGAATGACCTTTAGAGATATCCATGCCAGAATCACTGGAACCTGTGAATGTTACCTTATACGGCAAAGAGGACTATGCGGTTGTGATTAAATTAAGGATCTCGAGATAGAGAGACCATCCTGATTATCTGGCTGGGCCCTGAATACAACCACACATATCCTTATACAAGGGAGCACGGGGAGATTCAGCTATTTATAAGCAGAGAAGGCAATGTGACAATGGAAGCAGAGATTGGAGTGAGGCAGCCACAAGCCATGGTGGGCCTGCAGCCTCTAGCAGCAGGAGGAGGCAAGTAACGAAGGCACCCCTAGAGCCTCTAAAAAAAGCCAGCCCTGCTGACACTTTGACTTTAGCCCTGTAAAACAGATTTTGGACTTCTGGGCTCCAGAAGTGTGAGAGAACAAATCTGTGATATTTTAAGCCACCTCATTTGTGGAAATTTCCTATAGCTGCTATAGAAAATGAATACACACCCCTGCACAGTCCCAGACCCCCATTCCCACATACACTCCTTATCATCCTTCCTGCTTCACTTCCCCTCATGCCTTATCTGGATCAGGGTGTTTGACTTGTCAGGATTGTCTGTGTCTCCTCACTAGGATGTCAGCTCCACAAGGACAGCAGCCTTTGTCTGTCTTCTTCACTAAGTGAGGTAAGTGGTGCTAATCCACTCTCATTAGAGCCAGATATCTCTGAGTCCTTTTTTTTGTGTTGAGCCATGTGTAGTTGAGTTCATTTTCGAGAAGCAACAGCATGTGGGCTTTTCCTTGTGGTTTCTAGGGCTGGTGGCAGGTCCTGCTGGGCCCACAGAGGTCTCTAAGGCCTGTCCTAGAGCTGCACTCTCAGGAATTCTGGCCTAAAGGGACACTGGCCTGCACTGTGAGGAGAGCCAGCTCCCCCATGCTGGTAACCCCAGTTGGCTGGCCTTTCATCACTACCTGCCAGCGCCTTCCTCTAGAGAAGCTGGTTCACCTGTATTTCAGAGAGCAATTCCCTGAGAGGTTCCAATCCTCCAGGGCCTCCAGAGTCCTCCTGCTTCATGTGGGGCATGGGGGAAGTCACTGCCTCTGAATTTGATCAGATAATTTCCTTGCAGGTTAGGACATCAACTCTCAGAACAAGCGTGATGAACTCTTACGGCTGAGCCTGTGAGAGCACACAGACACCAGGGCCCAGTATTTAATGCAGAGCAGTTAACCACGGTGGGAGTGAGACTCTCTAACCTGGCCTCCCGCCACCACTGCTGTGGGGCCCTCCTGTCTCTATCTTGTCATGTGCTCAGATCCAGTCAACTGTAGAGTCAGTGATACTCTTGCCTGCCTTCCCCGAGTCCCCAGAGTCTGTCCCCAAAAAGTGAGGACTCCCAACGAAGGTGCCTCTCACTCTGCCTTGCTGTGGCAAACTCACTGGATAGGATGCCCTGGGAAGGCTCAGTCTCAGCAGGAGAGGCTGAATAACTGCTTTGGGTCAGGACAAGGGAGGGCTTGGATGCCATGAGCCAGCAGGAGGGAGACTGGTTTCCAGGGGAGATGAGGAAGCAGAGATGTGTGAAGGTTAACAGCTGAGACTTGCTGGGGGTCAGGCTGCACAGCTCTGACTCTTGCTGGCCATGTGATCTTGGACACATGACAGCCTTTCCAAGCCTCAGTTTACTCATCTGTAATTTGAGGATGGTAAACAGGATTACTGTGAAGCCTAATTTACATGAGAATAAGTGCACAAGTCTGGCACATGGTTAGCATTCAACAAATGCTGAATGTTGAATGTTGAATAGTGATGACAGTAATAGTGAAGATGATGACAGCAGCGGGCTCTGAGGCCCATGGGCTTTATTTCTTGATCTCATGGTGAGGGGAAGACTCAGACTGTGCAGCCTCTTGCTGCTTCCCGTGAGACACAGGGAGAGGAAAAGGGTTTTCCAAAACCCATGGGTGCAGAGAGGACCCTGCTCCCCATAGTCTGAGCTCCACATCCTGGGCTGTCACTGGCCAGAGCATCAGGTCTGGGCACACATCTGCAGGGGAGGTCATGGCTAGCAGTGAATCACTTACCTTGACTGTCGTAGGAAGTGATCACCTGGGGCTGCTGAGGGTGCTGCTTCTCCACCAAGTTTTCTATTTAAGGAAGACAGAGAGGCCTGCAGTGACCACTGGGGAATTGACCCCAGGCAGAGCAAAGGGCTGTATGTGTTTGCAGGAAAGGTGGGCTGGCGAGGGCCAAGCACATCCCCAGGCCTAAATGTGTGCGCACCCTCACAGTTTGCACATGTGCAAACCAGCACAATGACACTGTGCATGGAGACAAATGCCTGGAAGCCCATGTGCACATACCCCTTGTGACTCTTATCATGTGCCAGCACACGCTGGGTTTCTTCTGGAACAGGCTACCAGTCTTCCATGGTCTTTGTAGCCATAACTCCCAACTTTGGTGTCATCAGGCACAATTTCAAAAGCACTGTCCATACACAGATGCCTCACTGATCTTCACACCTTTCTGTGGAGCAGGCTGGGAGTTTCTGACCTGGGACTTAAACCCCAGGTCTTCTGACTCCCAGTTGAGCCTTCTGCTTCTTTTTTTTTTTTTTTTTTTGAGATAGAGTCTTTTTTTTTCCCCCAGGCTGGAGGGCAGTGGTGTGATCTCCGCTCACTGCAAGCTCTGTCTACCTCCTGGGTTCACGCCATTCTCCTGCCTCAGCCTCTCGAGTAGCTGGGACTACAGGCGCCCGCCACCACGCCTGGCTAATTTTTTTGTATTTTTAGTACAGATGGGATTTCACCGTGTTAGCCAGGATGGTCTTGATTTTCTGACCTCGTGATCCACCCACCTCGGCCTCCCAAAGTGCTGGGATTACAGGCATGAGCCACTGCGCCCGGCTGAGCCTCCTGCTTCTTGATGAGAAGCAGCAGCCTAGGAGACGGGATGATGTGTAGTTTGGTTCTGTTTCACAAACATTTGCAGGGCATGCACTCTACGCACATTCTCTCCACATGCTGGGATATTTCTGTCCCTGGGACACAGAGTTGTCCTCAGTGCCTAGTGGAGTCAGGCTGCCATGGAGTGATGCCTAGTTCCTGCCATTGGCCAAGAAGTGGGAGGTCACAGGCTTACTTGCCCTCCTATGGGAAGCATGACCTTTCCTCCCTTCTTTACAGTTGCTGCTGTGGCCTGCTCTTAGTGAGGCTGCCCTTGAACCTCTGCTTCAGAGGGATGGGGGAAAGGCTGGGCAAGGGGAGGATGGTGGCAGCTGGAGGTTCACCCACCACTACCACCCTGGCCTGCCATCTTCTCTCTATAGCTTCCTGCTGGCTTGCAGTGGGTTTGTCACTGGAGGTGACCACTGGGACCAGGGCCTCAGTGTGGAAACAAGTATGCCTCTGGGCATTGGCCTGAACAGGTCCATTTAGATGATTCTTCTTGTGCAGATGAGCCACTCAGTGGTTCCCATGCCTGGGCCCACGCAGAAGCCAATCAAGGTAGGGGGTGAGGTACTGAGCCAGGCTGGATTTGTGATCCACCTGACAGGGTCTTGCCCTGGAAAGCCTGCCTGCTCCAGCCTTCTCCTGTGAACAGGCGCAGCTAGGTCCCTGAGCCCCACACTAGTCAGCTGAGGGCCAGGTCCACTGTGTATTCCAATACAGGGTGATGTGGCATGCAGGGCTGGAGCCCCAGACCAGGCGAGGACAGGGAGGCCAGGGCCGCCTCCTGCAGGCACAGCTGGCAGTGCCTCGGCTGGCTGAGGGAGGAAACAAAATCCGGGAAGGGAATCCTCAAGGAGGGTGATTGGCTGGCATAGCTGCTGTGGGGTATTTATAGTCAAGGCTGCACAATTGGTTTCCCTTTAGCTGTGGAGCGTCAGTCCCTGTGCTACTAGGCAGACTTTGTCCAGGACCAAGGAAAGTAGCCAATCACAGCAGGGGAAGCCCGTTGCTGGGCAAGCTATCGGGGTGGGGTGGCGGGGGTGAGGAGGCGGCTGGGCCCAAACACCTGCTGCTTCGAAAAGTTTGGAGCTCTCTAGTCTCAGCACCCTGCCAATGCCCCAGCCCAATCAGTGCACGGGGTAGCAAGAGGGGGAATATGCGCCCTTCTGGATCAACCCCATGCTCAGCAGCGTCTGTGTGCACTCCACCAGCACATGCCATCAGCCACTTCCTTCTAAGATGGAAGCCATCCAGTTACCAGGGCTGGGCAGCCTGCTGGTTACCAGGGCTGGGTGCCTTGGGCACTGGTAAGACAGGTATGAGAAAAGGTCAGCTTCAATACCTGCACTCAGAATCTCAGCATCAGAAAACACAGAAAGAAACTAATTTTGATTTCTGCATGCATGTAAACGTACCATTTGAAAAATAAATGAAATTTTGCTTTACACATGTTGGTGGAATGGTAGAAGTGTCATTTTTTTCTGGGCTCAGGGCCTCTGTAGAGCCTCTCTCCAGCCCTGCATGTACCTGAAACTCTCAGTTCTCATGGTGGTTTTGCAAGGACTATTTTAATCATCTTCTATCAGCTGACACATAGTGCTAAGACTCACTTCATGTCTTTTACAAGAGTCTTGTAATGGTCTTGTAATAGTCAATGTGTCACTTTGTGTTTTGTGATATTTTTCCACTAACCTTCTCCTAAATCAGAAACCCAGAAGATGGTAAAAATAGAATGAATTCAGTATATTTCAATCTTCTCCTGATGTAATAACATGCCTGAGAAGCCCTAAGATGAGTGTCAGACAACTCAGGCAAGGTATGAGAGAGCTGCAACCAACAAGGATGCTGTGCTTCTTTGCTTCCACCTGTGGCTTGCTTGCCCGCTCACCCACTCACACATGGGCCAAGCATGCATACCTTCCATGCCCTGCATGGCCATTTCTGTGGCTAACAGGTCTCTGGGGGTCTGATTCTTATCAAAATTCTCAATAGCCCATAGCAGAGTTTTGTTAGCTTTGGCGTCTACTTCAGTAGAGCTAAAGCTGGCATGTCTACCAACTGATGGCCCCTGTAGCAAGGTTACAGGGAAGCCATTGCACCCATGCATGTCTATAGGTTAGGTCACAGAGGGGGTGGTTCCCTGGCAGTGGCAGGGTGGGGGTGGAGGGTGTGTCTTGAGGACTCCTACCAAAGGCAGAGAACATAGGAACACTCTTCACCTCCAGGGTGTCGAGACTCACCTACAGTGCATTACAATTCCAATCATTTTCACACAGCTCCCCTGAGGGCAGTGTTCTTGGTTGTCTTTTTCACTGTTTCATTTCCAATATTTAGACTCATGCCTGGCACAAAGTAAGCACTCTAGGCATTTGTGGACAGAATGAGTGAATGAATTCACTTTTAGAACTTCATCTTTCCCTTTCATTATTGTCAGAAGGATGGTAGAACATAGCAGTTTAGTCCTATTCATCTGCAATCCTATTTCCCCATTTGTGTCATGGAGGGTGGTTCCTTTAGACTGGCATTTGATAAACCAGTCATCTGATCCCAGGGCTCACTTAGCTGGGGGCGGATGGAGTTCTCTACTGGGGTTCTGGGAGTAGAGGTTTGGTCTCTACTAGAACCCTCATGTGCCCACTGTGCAATGTCCCTGATGTTTGTCCCTGGAGGCTGGGCTAATGAACTCTAAAGGGAATAGAAAAAAGCCTTTTATAGTTGGCCCCTTAGTGTTCCCAAAGAGATCCTGGGCCTGGGGTGGCAGATGCCTGGCACCAGAAAAAAGAGGCTTTGGAAGCTGACTTCTTATTGTATTTTGGGTCCAGGCCAGCAGGAAGCTATAGAACCCTTGAGTGGCATCTTCTCAGGCCTCAAGTCATACCGTCCCAAGGCAGACCACTGTCCTCTCTGCTGGGAAACATTTTCAAAACATAGATGGCTGCCTCTCATAGGAGCACACTCAAACCTCACCATCCCAAGGGATGTTAAGTCCTCCCCTACAGCTCAGCCAGCAAACAAATGGGTGCTCAAGTTCCTGTTCTTCAGCCATAGCCTCCAGGAGAGCCTGACACCAGGGACCACTTCCCACAGTCACAGTGGTCCTAGAGGCCTGGCTGGGTCAGGAGCAGCCACTTTCTGTTCAGTGGTTAGATGTCTAGGGCCAGTCTTCAAATGAGTGAAACCCAATCCTTCCAGTTATTATTCAATGTATTAAATCCTATAGGTTGAAAGGAAAAAGAGAATTTACCGTGAAGGTCATTTCCTTCTAATTTCTGCCATCTTCGGACTCCATTTCCAATGCCTTGGAATCCTGCAAAATAACAAGTTTCTCTGAGGCGGGAGACCCAGGGCAAAAGAGTGATGTGCCAGTTGCAGACTTATCTGGGTTATGGTAGAGCAGGTGGATCTTGGCTCTCTTGGAATCTGAGAGAGGTTACCCATGAATCAGATGCCCCTGAGGAAATGAATGCAACTCTCAAAATTCAAAACATCTAAAAAGTGTTAAAGCAGTTTTCAAGGGCAGTGGGGTTGGTTATCAGGATCATTTGGGGAGAATTTTTGTAGTAGAGATGCCCATTTTCCACTTCCACCTCTCCTCTGCATACACATGAAAGCATTATTTTAGAAGTCATTTGCTATCCATGTTGCCTGCCTATTTCTGTAAGTGGTGAATCACTCACTTTTAGAGTCTTGATATAGAGTGGGAGGAGTGGGCTAAGACCGTCAATCCCAATGGGAACGGAAAATGACAGTTGCCAGTTCTCTTGGCCTCCCTTGCAGCTAGAGGGTAAACACGTATGGCCTAGCCATGGCCAATCTGATGTACCTGTGTTTCACTCTGCCTTGGGACCTGGTGATGCAACAAGGAAGGGAAGGAAAGCTCTCACTCTGGCTGCGGCTGCAAGTGGTAGCCGCAAGGTCGAGTTCCTGGCACAGCACGGGGATACGTTCTGGCAGCGGGTGCTGCTGCAATAAAATTGAGATTCTGGCGCGGAAGGAGTATTCAGGGCTCCTTGGTGGCCGAGGAGGTTTCCTCACTAGACCAGCTCTGTGGTACTGCTGATGGCACTGTTCCTGGAAGTTCAGCCTTGAGTCTTATTCTCCAGCCCTCTCAACCACTCAGGGGCCGCCACTCCCTTCTTAACACCTTTCTTTTCTGCAGAGTCCCCCATAGCCAGGGCCAGTGACTTACCACTTGGAACCCTCATGACACACCTATGGAGTAGAATACACAAATCACATAGATTTTTGGGATAAGGCCTGAAACTTCGAAGCTCATTGGGTCTTGCTGCAGGCAGCTATAGGCTATATTCTCTACTGCCGCAGGAATATATGCACTTTACTTTCTGATAGGAGTTGAGGGCTTTCAGGCACGTTTTGGAGAAGAACTGTTCCAGGGAAATGACTGGGAGGATGCCTTACAGAAATGGGAGAGAACATCTGCTGGCTCTGTAGCCCAAATTCCTAGTAATCTAGCCTGTCCACACTCTCCTTGCCTTCTTGTCCCCCTGACTCTTTTCTTCCACAAGGCCACCAGCAGAAGGGCCACTGGTTACAGATTACTCCATCCTCTTCATTGCAACAATGCAACAATAACTGAGCCTTGATCTTTTCTGACATGGAGTCTAGGCCCTCTTTTACATAGCCAAGGAAGATCCACTCTTCAGTGGAGGACCTGGAGTGCGGAGGAGAAAGGAGGAGATACCTGGAAGTGAGCATGGGTTTGTTTTAGATCTTTGCACCCATGGGAGGCTTTGGAACAAGCTGAGCTTGTTGGACATTTTCCTCCCTTAGGCTGTTTTTTGAGGAGGGGGTCTGCAGGCTGGCTTACCCTGGGGTCTCCTGAATATCATTGTTGCCCACCAGGCATCAAAAGTCATGCACTTTCCCTCCTCTCTGCTCTGGTTGTGAATAAGTGACAGAGATCTCTACACTGTCATTCATAGCATCTGTGAGAAACGGCCATCAGGAAAATATTTGGAGAAAAAGCTCAGCAGAAAGGGCCCAGCCATTAGGGGTCTTTTTTTCTCTGTCACAGTCACAAGTGTGCATCCATTAGTCTGGAGTCATGGCGAGTTTGTGCTGGGTGTTGGGCACCTCTCAGGACAGTCCTGATGCCTGGTATTTCCTGGGCTTCTCTGCATTCTTTGCCCTTTCTAGTGTCAGAGTCTTTAGAAGTGACATGATCAGAGAGGATCGTGGGACTTGTGGGCTGACCTGGAACTAGGCCTCACCATACACTGGAGAAGGCATTCTGGACTGTGGTACATGTATTCAGAGCAGTCTCATTTCTATCAAGAAGTTGATGCCCTCTGCTGATTTTCTAACTACAAATACCCTGGACAGGCCATTTCCCCTTCTCCCAAGAGCAGGTCTGAGAACTAAAGAGCCAATGAATCCAAACAACTCCTGCTTCAGTCAGGAATCAGCCCTGAGACTAGAGTGCCTGTCAACATACTCAGCCCTCCAGATTCTGTTTCTTTCCCCTGCCTGCCTTCCCAGGAAGTCCCCAGGGCTCCGGAGGCAGCTCTAGCCTATGTGGCTGTTAGTGGCAAGGCCAGCCACAGCAGCATTACTTTAGCAAGGCAGGTGGAAGGTGGATGTTCAATGCGCACAGAGGCTCTGGGGACAGAAGACCCAAGGGCAGAGCAGCAGCAGGAATTCCAAGGAGCTCCAGAGCTGGAGGGGAGGAGAGAGGCAGAAGTCATTCTCCTGCATGGACTGTCAGGCCTAACTTCTAAAGAACTGGCCCACAGTCTGCCTAGTGCATCCTCACACCAGCCTCGGAGACAGCTTGCCATCCAGGACCCTGAGGTTCTCTGGCTTTTCAGGGGCTTATTTAACCTTCCTTATCATCCATCTGCACTCTATTCACATTGTGTTCTGTCGTCTGAAGAACAGAGAGGCCCGGATCCTGCTTTCCACAATCACTCTGTAAACAGTCACTTTATTTTACCAATCTACAATTTATAAATTTACCCAGAAAATATGTAGGACAAGTAAAATTGATGGATAAGTTCAAGCGGAGACAGCAGGTTTCAAATCTTACCCTATCCAAACCTGCGTTCCTTTTACGCCTTTTCATGCCTGCCATCTATAGAAGGCTAGGAGAAAGTCTCAAGAAAGGAGAAACTGAGGCTGTAAACTGTGCAGGGCCACACAGGGAGCTCCCCATCTCAAAGGCTGACTCAGCACAAAGGTTTCCCAGCGTCCCCTGTGCCCTGCAGTGTGCTGTGGGAGGGGAGCAGGCCTCTGCTACCCGTGAGTGAGCTCTGAGGCTCTGGCCGCCTTCCTCCAGGGTATCTTCCAGTCTTGCTCTCCCCGTCAGGGAGTGGCTGGGAGGAAGAAGACTCCCAGGGGTGACGGAAGCACCCACAGGCCTGCACAGGGAGTCAAACTGGGGCAATCACGGGGCTGCGCGTTGCCACGGGACTGCGCGTTGCCACGGGACGCCGGTGCCACTGCGGGGAAGCGACGGCAGCCATGGGGGAGAGGGTCGGGCTCGCAGACCTCGTTCGGGGGAGCAATGGGCGCCACCCGGCGGGCGGGCCCTGTGGCAAGGAGGCCGAGGTGCCGGGGGACCCGGGGACCCGGGGACCCGGGTCGGGCGCGCGTTACCTCCTCGGCGCTGCAGCAGCGCGCTCGGGTCCGCCTGTTGGTCTGAGTGCGTGCCCTGTGCGGCGCGCCGCTTCTCCGAGTGCACGATCAGCAGCATGTCGATAGATACGGCGTTGATGTCCTTCTTCAGCTCCATGATGCCGCCTCCCTTCCGACCTGGGCGCCGCGGCCGCACACTAGGCTGCTTGCGCTGCAAATGGCCCCGTGCGCGCAGCTGCCCCACACGGGAGAGGGCGAGGGCGCGGGAGAGGGCGCTCCCCCGCCGCTGGAGCTGCAGGGCGCCGCGTTTCGCTGACTCTGCCAAACACGCCATTAGGGCCCTCCTGGGAGGGCGCTACCCTAATGAAGCTGTTCTAAGTCACCTTTGAAAGGAAATCCCCAGGCCCAAGCCTTGACCTGCACCGGGGCCATAGTCGGCAGAGGCGGCCGGTCCAGAGCCTCCCTCCCTGCGCCCCTGCCTCCCGCTCGGTGCACTTGAAGCGCTGGTCCTGGGCTCCAGGACTTCTCTGGCTGAGCGCTGCCTCATCCCCACGGTCTCCGGAGGGTTCCCGAGAGGGCCCGGAGCCCACCTCCCACGAGAAGCCTCTGGCAAATACAGAAATCGCACAGTGCTGTCAACATTGAGAGTAGGTTCAGGAAAAGGAAAGACAGCAAAGGGGCTCCAGATTGAATTGCAAGATGTGCAGAAATTGGCCAAGTTTTGGCCTCGACCTCCCTCGTTCCCCGGGTGGGTTTTGGAGGTTGACAGCTCTCTCCCTAGGAGGGAGTTGGGTGGGGTTTTGGAGTCAGGAGCTCCCCCCAGTTACGGCCCCTCTAGAACTTGGAACATGCCCATTGAGTATCAGGCTAACGATCCTCTTTGATCTGAAACGAAAGTCTTAAAGTCTCTGTTCCTTCTAGAAGCCTGGCTCCTGCCCTGTGGGGAAGGAGGGAGGGGGAGAGGAGGAGCCTGGGGCACAGGGAGCTGGACCTGAGAAGCCTTCTATTTTTAGCCCGGCCTGGCCTGCCCAGCCAACAGCAGCAGGGGTTTGGCTGTAGGTCTCAGGAGTGTTTACATAGGCTTCTGCCCGGTACCCCGGGTCACTAACGGCCCACCCTGCTGGGGGCGTTCCTCTAATTCGAGTTTCTACTGTTAATAAATGCCCCCCACATGGAGGCCTTTGCTCTGGGAGCCCTCCCCACATTGGAGTGTATGGACCCCACCTTGTAGCATGGCCCTGAGAGTTCCCAGATTCTCCTTGGAGGAGCCAGTGTCACATAGACTGCATTCCAGTACCAGTTCCATCACTTCCTGGCTGTGTGACCTTGGACCAGCCATTTCCCCTCCACCTTCTTACCCTTATCACTGGGTTGATAAAAATTTCTCACATGGCTCTTGTGAGAATGGCATGAATATAAGGCACCTGGTGTACAGAAAGTGGTCTTCACATGGTGGGTAATACCTTCACATGTAGGTAGGAAATACTTCACCCTTACTTCATTTTAAGGATAAGTAAAGGGACAGAGGGAGTGAGAAGTGACTGGTGGAGCAGAGAAGCAGGAGACATGTCACAGCCACACCCTGAGATTCTGAAGGTCTTCCCCCAATAACAGTGGCTCAGAGTTTGGTCGCATGTAAAGGCTGTTGTCTCATTGCATTACCAGCGCCCCCTGCCACCCTGCCCCCACCTCACCCACTGGGCATCTGATGAAAGGAGAGGTTATTGGCTTCCAGAAATGTTGAACTGGAGTCCCCAGAGAGCTGAGGCCATAGACAGACAAGTGGAGATGGGTGACTCCCAAGGCAGGTTTCCTTCTGCTAAAGTGAGTCTTGTCCTATCTGTATGTGTGCAGGTACACACACACACACCCCTCCCTGGGAGGCTGGCTAACACTTGCTCTCTGTGTGGCTGGGGAAGTAAGAACTATGAATTACGCAAAGCTCTTGGGGTGTTGGAGATTGCTGAGGCAGATCTCAGGTCCCAGAGTTCCCCCAGCTACCCTGGGCCAGTCAGTGTTGCCTAACTCCTTCAAGTGTCAGGTTGTCTGAAGTGCTGAAACCAACGAGAAGCCCGTGTGCAGCACCCCTGGTTGCTGGATGGGTCTGAGTGGTGGTGATGGTGGGGGGAGCTGAAGTCTCATTTCCTTACACTTGCATTCCCCATCTCCCAACCCCTGCTCTCCTGCTGGAAAGTGTCATTGCTAGGAACTCGCAAACTCTGGTGCCCCCTCCCAGAACTGCCTCTGGAGAAGGATATTCTGACCTGGGAATGGGCTGCCAGGGGTCTGGGGAGATGGTGTGGAGGCCTCATGTCTCTCTGCTGTGTCTGAAGACAGCTTTGGAGCAGGGCCTCTCATCCTTGGTGCTATTGACATTTTGAGCCAGATAATTCTCTTTTGCAGAGCTTTCCCGTACACTGTGGGATGTTTAGCAGCATCCCTGGCCTCTACCCACTAGATGCCAATCACATTCACTTCCCGATTGCGACAACTTAGAATGCCTCCAGACATTGACCAATGTTTCCTTTGGAAAGAATTGCAGTGTGGACACCGCTTTGGAGCAAACTCCTGAAGTTGGAGTCACCTCGACTGCTCTGGGAGATGTTGCTGCCCCTGGATCCTGATGGTGCCTGACACCTAGACCCTCTTCCTAGAGGTTTACCCATGGCCATCAGTCCAACAGCCCAGCTTCTGGGGCCTGCCAGGAGCATAGATGAGATGCTCTTCTTAATGCCAACTCTATTCCCATCCTTGGCCTGGGTTGACCTAGCTGCCTCCCCTCTTCCCAAGACTATCCATTCTTGGGCGGAGAGGGAGACACCATGGGGAAAGTGATGTGGCTGAAGGCATTTGGATAGATCAGGACAGGGGAAGGAGAGACAAGAGAAGACTGAGGTGGCTGGGATATCGTTCAAGTAGAGGCTCTGTCCCTTCTGCTCAAATCCTCCCTGCAGCTGCTCACATAGTCAATGGGACAAATGACAGAACCCCCAACCTGCAAATCTCCAGACCCATCTCTTCCTTTTTCCCTACCAAACCCACACACGCTTCAGCAAAAACCATGTCCTCTACACCCCAGACACACCATACTAGCCCCTCCATCCTGCCACTATCTTGAATAAAAAAGATGCAAGGCTCTCTGTATTCTGACCTAAATAATTCATCTGCCTCCTTGTCTTAGGATCTGACAAACCAGGGGCCTTCTCCATTCTTGAGCAAAACTTTATTTTAATCAAAATGAGTGGGAAATTCCAGGATCCAAAAAGACAAAGAGCCGTCAAAATAGTTGTATTGTCACCTTCGTCAAATTCAACACTTAGACACATCCAGCTGTCAGCAGCCCTGCATCCACTCCTTTGCTAGAAGGTGAGATTTGTCAGTTGTCTGAATGGTTCTGGGCCCTGAGTTGGTTCTGCCGTTTTGGAGATGAGAAGTGTTCACCAGGGGCAGCTTCAACCTGGCAGTTGAAGCTGTCACCAGAGAGGAGTGTGTTTTGACCCTCACAGTTCCCTCAGAAGTAGTTTTGCAGGGACCATCAGTCATAACTGTTTTTACCACTCTTGGGATTCCAAGAGGCAAGTTTCTCTCTTCCCTATAGAGATAGAGTAAGTAAGCCAATGCAAGAAAGGCTTTTGGCAGGGAATTTTCTCCATTGATGATGTGGGGAAGAGGCACACAGAGAGTGGTGTGGGTTGGTGAAGAGTAACAGACCAAGTTCCAGTCTCCTAACTCCCTCAGCCTCCCCTGAGATGAGTGAATCCTTACATGGGATACGGGATACCTTTCCTAGAAACCTTTCCACAGCCAGTGTAGGCTTCCCATGGCCTCTTGACCGGCCTGGCTTAGCTTGCTTCTGCTTCTGAGCCTTTGCTATTGCTATGATTTCTGCCTGGAAAACCCCTTTGGACTTCCCTGGCAAGTACAGTTTAGGCATCCCTCAGGACCCTGTGGGTAGGGTCTCATGAATGTGGTTTCACAGTTGGAGGGCGGGTATAGAAGGAACTGGAGCCATTTCCTTCCCTCTACTTTGAAGCCTTCCTGGGTACCCCAGACCTTGGAGGTTCTGGGGAATGCCAGTTCTCTGTGGTGCCTCTTTTTACAATCCCAATAGTTAATTTGGAAGCTTACCCCTGCTCTTGTCCCACACTCACCAAATTTGGAAATCATATCAATCCCCTCTGGAACAATTATGCCAGGCAAACCTGTTTCCAGACACTGTCTCCCAGCAGGGTAATAGTGAACAATGTACTTAACCTCTCCGAGCCTCAGTTTTCCTCATCTGTCAAGTGGGTGAGGGTGTTGCTGGAATTAAATGAGATAAGGTACTTAGCTATGGGTCGTTATAGCTATGGCAACTTCCTGTATTCCGGTCAGACCCCCTGCTGGGTCCTGCTCTGGGGAAGGTCTCATGGATGTGGTTTCACAGTTGGAGACGGAGTATAGAAGGAAACAGAGCCATCTCTGACCTCCGCGTTGTCTTCCTTCCCATATCACTGCTCTGTGGCCACTGTTCTACAATCACAGAAAAACTCAGTGAGCCACAGAATCCATTCCTTGAAGAACTGACATCAGATCTCTGCGGCTGCAGCCTGTTTGGCAGGAGTTACGGCACAGCACAGTTCTGCTTCTTTCCCACCCCGATGACACTTGTGAACTCTCTGTGTGCATTCAGTAGGATAAACCTTTGCATCATCTCCGTTTTATAGATGAGAAAACAGAGGCTTAGAAACGTAATGTGACCTACCCAAGGTCTCACATGTGTCTTACAGGTAGCAGGGGACACCCAACCCTTGACACCCCACCCAACTCTGTATACTCCAAAGCTCATGTGCTGAACAACACCTGCCCCCCCTAACCTATATGACCATAACATGCCCATGAGCTGAGGCTGCATAGTGCCCAGGCCAGGGAAAAGATCAGCTGTCAGCCTGTGGGGAAGATGGTCTTAAGAATCATGATGAACACACCTTGACCCGGGGTTTCAAGACCTCTGTCTTGGAAAAATTCTTTGAGCTCAAACCCTGAGCTGGGCTTTTGGGGACAGATTTTACAGTTTCTGTGGCATCAGTTGTTTTGGGTGGGGAGAGAACTGGTGGCAGTGGCTGTAGTGAAGAGTTGGTGGCTGGGAGCATTCAGCAGTCTTCAGGAGCAGTGAGGTAGTCCTGCCAGGGATGGAGAGGAAGGCAGAAGACTACGATTTTTGTAGACAGGAAAAGAAATTTTTGTGTTGTGATAGTTCCATACCATTCTGGGGTGAGGATGGTTACACTGTAAAGAGAGCTTTCCACTTCTGCTAGGTTTGCCATGAAGATGTTTCCCAGCACAGATGATGGCTTGTTCTTGAGACCCCACTGTGTGCAATGCCATAGGATGAAATGAAAGAGTAAATACAGGGGAGGGGCACCTGTCCTCCCAGAGAGGAGGGGCCAAGAAAGCTACATTCCCAAACAGTGTCCTTAGGAATGAATGAGTAGGAGAGAGGGACTGGGCTTTCCAGGCAAGGAGGAGCCTGGGCAGGAAACAGGAGGGGCTGGAAGGAGTGCTGGAGGTGAGAGAGAAAATGGCGTGTCTCAGGAAGTGAAACCAGGGCAGTCTGGTTGGTGCTATGGTGCAGGAGAAGAGCTCTGAGAGGAGCAGAAGAGCAGCCAGGGCCAGTCTGCTGTGGGTGAAGCTTTAGCTGCCCATCTGAGCGGTGATGCTGGTCCTGGTCAGCAGGGATGGGAGAGCAGGGGCAAGGATATTCACAAGGGTGAGGGTGCAGGTCCCACGGTTGTCCTAGGCATGATCAAAACCACTGTCACTTGAGACTGGCCTTCTGGGGAAGACGCTAGGCAAGGGTGGTGATGGTATGAAGAGACAGTCAAACACCACATACAGATGCTGTGTAAGAAAAGGAGGATCTTTTGGGGTAGTGTGGGGTAGAGTGCTGGGTGAGGTGGGAACTGGGCTCAGATGGAGAGGACCGGCAAGGGAGACACAGGACCTCCACCCAAGCTGAAGGGCCAGGCCCAGCTCAGTCCTCAGACTCAGGAGACCCCTCTGGGTGAGCTGGGTCATAAAGTCCCACAGGGCATCAGGAGACAAGAGACTGTGTCAAATTCAGGCTCATTACTAACAATTTAGAAAGTGCAAGAACTATGTAAAGAAGAAAATAAAGCAACCTAAATCCCATCATGCCACCAACTAGAGATAATCACTTTTAAACATTTTGTTATTTACTATTTCCTTTCATTATGACTACCACATAGGGTAAAATAAATGAACATTTATTATATATAGGTGTATTAGTCTGTTTTCATGCTGCTGACAAAGACATACCTGAAACTGGAAGAAAAAGAGGTTTAATTGGACTTATAGTTCTACATAGTTGGGGAGGCCTCAGAATTATGACAGGAGGCAAAAGCCTCTTCTTATATGGTAGCAGCGAGAGAAAATGAGGAAGAAGCAAAAGCAGAAACCCCTGATAGACCCATCAGATCTCACGAGACTTATTCACTATCGGGAGAATGGCACGGGAAAGACTGGCCCCCATGATTCAATTGCCTCCCCCTGGGCCCCTCCCACAACACATGGGAATTCTGGGAGATACAATTCAAGTTGAGATTTTGGCAGGGACGCAGCCAAACCAAATCAATAGGTGTAAAATAAAAATGAATATTTTTATTTAAAAACTATAATTGGTATTGCACCATATACAGTTTGGTATCATGATTTTTTTTTCACTGAACATGTAATGAATAGTTTACCAAAAACTCTTCAAAAGCTAATTTAAAAGAAGATTGTTTAGTCACTTTTTATACTGACATGCCACAATCCATTTTTCTATTTTCTCATTGTTGGACTCTTAGTTTGTTTTGCATTGTCTACTTTTATAAATAATGTGATAATAAATATCTTTGACTGCATTTCTGGTTATTTCCTTAGAATAGATTCTTGGAAGTAGAATTACTGAGTCAAAGACTATGACTATTTTAAGGATTGAGATATATATATATATGAAATGTCAAATTACCTACCAGAAAGATTGTGCCTATTTACACTCATTAGCTGTATATGTCAACCTCTCCATACACTACCACAAACATTGAAAACTATCGGTACATCAACCTTTGCCATTATGATAATTGATACATGGTAACCTTTTCTTTTTATTTTATTTATTTATTTTTTTGAGATGAAGTCTCGTTCTGTTGCCCAGGCTGGAGTGCAGTGGCGCGATCTCGGCTCACTGCAACCTCCGCCTCCTGGGTTCAAGCCATTCTCCTGCCTCAGCCTCCGGAGTAGCTGGGACTACAGGTGTGCGCCACCGCGCCTGGCTAATTTTTTGTATTTTTATGTAGAGATGGGGTTTCACTGTGTTAGCCAGGATAGTCTCGATCTCCTGACCATGTGATCCACCCGCCTGGGCCTCCCAAAGTACTGGGATTACAGGCATGAGCCACTGTGCCCGGCCGATACATAGTAACCTTTTCTAATTTTCATTTTTATTACCATGGAGATTGAACAATTTTTAAGCATAAATTTACCTTGTGTGTGTGTAGTGTGTGTGCATGTGTGTGTATTTAAAAAATTCACATCCTTAGTTCTTTTTCCTACTTTAACGGCACAAATATTTAAATATTGGTTGGAAAAAAAATACTCTTCCAACCTACCTCAGATCTGTTGTATTTTGTAGCAAAGTCTATGGCAGAGTCGTGCTCATAGTTCTGATTACTTGAAGCTCTTTGAGGGCCAGGGGGCCAGGTCATGGTCTTACTCATTCCTGAATCCCCCAACACTTTGTGTCTATGTTTCTTGCACCCAGAAAGTGCTCAACAAATGTTTGAATCAAATTGGACAGAATTAATCCTCCCAGCAAGCTGAGACTTCTTCCTTTAGCCTGGAGCTAGAACTGAGCTTTCCAGAGATGTGTAGCATTTGCTCTTCTGTGTCTCTCTCACAGACCTGCAGGGAACGGAGAAGAAGGTTAAACGAGGACAAGCAGCTCTGAAGGCACCATCCTCCACACTGACAGAACCATCTGGAGCATGAATTTGGGGAGAGCTTGGTTCTGAGACAGCGCTGCTCAGTCCCATGCAGACACCAGCCCTGCCCCCTGCCCCCATCAGAAGTCACAAGCCGTGATTCATGCTGTTAAGAGCAATTTTCATTCTTAACCTTTCTGGTGCGTCTCTTCCTGATCAGTTTGTCAGCCACTCCCTTTCTCAAAGTATTTCTGTTCATGACACCTTAATTTACTTTCCATATTTTTTTGTCCAGAGCTCATTAAAATCTCATCCTCTTGCATATAATAATGTGCAAGTGTGGGAAGCACTGCTTTCCAAATTTTGGGTACTTTGAATTTTGGAGTCTTTACACTCCATGGCATTCTTGGCCCTTTGCTGGGGAGGGAGATGATGAAGATCAATCTGTCTCTCACCACCACTTCCAAAATATCCTGGGCAATGCCAAGAGAGGTA